TAAAAAAACAATGATCATAGGGATAATTCATAGAAAAGTGAGATTAAATTGACTGAACATGGGCACAAACAACAAAACAAACACCAGAGGGGTGTTAACCCTTCCCTAAGCTAATATTTGTTTGGAGTTACAAATGTACCTGTTTTGACTTACATACAAATTTAACTTGAGAACAAACATACAGAACTTGGGGACTGCCTCTATGTGCTTTCTTATTGTATTGTTTCCATTACCTCTCTATTAGTTTCTGATGGTATTTCCCCTGTTGGTTATCCCTGCTCTTGTTTCAAAATTTCCCTTGATTCCTCATATCCTCTAAAATATTTTTTTTGTGTTTTGTTATTTTCTTTTTTCCCTTTGCACAGATTAATTTGCACTTAGTATAAAAACTTAGATAGCAATGCCTATTAGGGAGTGATCCTGACGGTTCTTTTAAATTTTATAAATTAGACTGAAATGGGAATAGAAAGGTTGCATAAAATTCAGGTTTTAAAAGTTGATTGGTATCCTTTCTGAGAGTCCTTAATAACACAAATTAATCAAAAATATTTTAAATTGTATTTTGTGGCGTTATTTTGAAACAATAGTACAAGTCAGTTCTCAGTAATAGTAGTAAAGTGCTACTAGTGGTATCATTCAAAACCAAAGTCAGTCATTCACGCCACAATATTTTTTGATTTATTTGTGTGGTCTTGAAAGATAGTGACGAAAGCACACAAGAAGAAATCAACTTATTTGAAATGTCATGCTGAAGGAGGGTTCTGTAGGTACCATGGACTGATAAAAAAACAAATACATGGGATGTATAGCAAAACAAGCATGACCGCAAGTTATGTCTGCTACTGCCTATAATGTTACTTTATTAATAGAGGTATTTACGAAGCACTCTAAACTAAAAGTATTAAACATCTAAAATATTTTTGTTCTTCTAAACACCTTAATTAATAATGAAAACTAGGAATCTGACTTGCCTGAAGCCATCCAAAGTTTCCAGCATTGCTGGGTCTAAAATTCATATAATTAGTGTCACTGTATGCATATGTGCTCATTATGAGTCACATATTCTATCAAAGTTTTTCATTTTGAGAACTATGCAAGTAGAAGTTTGTTTGAATGGACGAGAAATCTACCTCCAAGTTAAATTGTTATTATTATTTTGGAGCATTTCATGTAGAGACTGAGACTGATAGTGGCAATGTACAAAGATTTTTAAAGTGATATCTATTCAAATTTAAAATGTTAATTGGAATGCCTGATGAGAGCCAACATGTAGCTTCAGCAAATATCTATTAGTTTGCTAGTCCATTGTCTTTTATGTGTACTGTACACCGCCATGAGTCGCCCGTAGGGCTGAGAATGGCGGTTAATAAGTGCATCAAATAAATAAATAAATAAATAATCCCAATTAATTGAAGTTGTGTCTGAGACTCTAGGGCAGATGTTCTGAGCTGTAACGCCCATCAGCGCTGTTTAAGCACAGCTTGTCTTTTAAGTGCAAAAGTGGGTCAAGTGAACATTGTTTATATTGTGCAGCTTTTGATAATCTAGTGTAAATATATTCTAAAGTTCTCTGAATGCACTCCTTTGTGACAACATTCAGCTGTCTTTCTATTCTTGCTATGCTAAGCAAAACTCAGCTGCAAGGGGAATATTTGTATGAGGGAAAGTACGGGGAAATGGGGTGGTGCACAATATAGAGGTGCAGTTCAGCTTAGTAATTATTCATAGCAAATGCTTATAAGCAAGTGTAAGAAAAAAGCCAATGGGGGCACAGTGTCTAGATCGAGGAACATAATGATGCCTTTGTAGTCTGCTTTGGTTAGACCTCACTTGGACAAATGTGTCCAATCCTCGGCACCACAGTTCAAAAGATATATTGGCAAACTGGAAGGTAACCAGAAGAGGGCAACTAAAATAATGAAAGATCTGGAGACCATGTCCTATGAGGAGCATCTTAAAGAATTTGGTATGTTTAGCCTGCAGAACAGAAGATTGAGAGGAAACATGATAGCCATGTATAAATATGTAAAGGGGTGTCACAAGGAAGAGGGAGGAGACTTGTTTTCTGCTGCCCTTGAAACTAGGTATCAGAGCAATGGGTTCAAATTACAGGAAAGGAGATTCCACCTGACCATTAGTCAGAACTTCCTGACTGTACGAGCTGTTCAACAGTGAAACTCTCTGCTTCAGAATGTGGTTGAAGCTCCTTCCTTGAAAACTTTTAAAGAGAGGCTGGATGGCCATCTGTCAGAGATACTTGGGCTGTGCTTTCCTGCATGGCAGGGGGTTGGAGAGATGGCCCATGTGTTCTCTTCCAACTTTATTATTCTATGATTCTATGGATCTATTTGTAAATTAGGTTGTCTGAGACTCTGAAATAATAAATCCCTGAATTTTGAGATTAGACTCACAAAGGAGCTACATTTCATGTTGTGGAATGATTCCAAAGGGAATTACATGCATAAGTGCCTGAATTTCCAAATAAATGTCCAAATATTCC